AGGAGATGTCTGACGATCTTTGACATCCTCAGAAATGGTAAAGACTCTCTAGATCGTAACAGGCTTCCTGGTGTTTACTCCATCCCACTTAAGGACAGCAGATGGGTCAAGGGCCTTATATATATATATATATATTGGTTCCACCAAGCACTCCTTAAATACCAGAATATGGGAGCACCAAGCAGACCTCCAGCATGGGTAACACACCACTGCCCTGGCTTCATATGCATCTGATCCAGATATTGAAGCGGAATTCAACAAAGCTGAGGTCATCAACACTACACCCCACCTGGAGCATCTAAAATGGCTAGAAGCCATATCCATTTACAAAGCTAGCCACATGACTGCCTGCATCAACCAGAAAGAATAGCTTAATCTATTGGTAACCTGGCAGACCTTCATATATGACAAACTTTAATTACCACCACCCATGCACGAGTTTACATGCCCAGTGCAACAGATTTAATCATACAGACATTCGATTTAATTTCAAATATTTATGTTCTATTTTGAAGCATTCCATAGGATTTTACCTGAGGAAGAACTATACAAAAGTTTGAAAATGTTTGTGATATACCGTGTTTTTTTTTACAAGGAACACTGGTAACGGTTATAGTGTTGATTTCACCCCTCGATGTTAAGATGATGTTGAACTTTTTATTTAATTAGAAATTACAATAATGACTGGCTTATTAATAGTGTCACTCTAATAAACTTTATTACTTGTGTAAATGTTACATAGCAAAACATGAATCTTCAAAAGAAATAGTTATAAATCAATTCATATTTATTTAGTATAAAACGAAGAAAAAACAAATATTCTGAAAGTGAAATATGAATAGATAAATTACAGATATGAGTGTTTATAAATAATTTATATTAATAACTCAAAAATTATGTTTTAAAAATTAAAAATTAAAATGTGTGTGCATAATTCGCTGAATATTGGTTTTATGTATAGTGCTTAATTATATACCTAGATTGAGTCTGAATTTTCATTCAAATCTGAGTACATAAAAAAATTAACAGAAAAAATGGCCCTCGCTTAAAATAGAGGGGTTGATCGGTTGAATTTTAGGCATGGGCTACCTCCTGCATAATTAGTTCCTTGAGCAGTTCGGCGACGGTCGGATGGGGAATGACTAAGTCACGCACTAGGTCAACGCTCATCATTTTAGTCACCATCAACCCGGCGATCGCGATAATTTCAGTCGCGTACTGACCGATCATGTGGACCGCTAAAATTTGGCGGGTTTTTTGGTCAACTAACATTTTGACTAGACCGGCGTAGTCGTCAACCTCGGTCACAAAGCGACCCGAGTAAAGCATCGGCATTTTGTAGACTTGGTAGGCAACGCCGTTTCTTTGGAGCTCTTCTTCGCTCGGTCCGACGGTGGCAATTTCGGGATCGGTGTAAATCACGTTCGGGATCGCGTTGTAGTCCACGCTGTCCCAAGTTTGACCCAGCAACTGGTGCACGACCACCTCGGCTTCGCGGTAGGCCGTGTGGGCTAGCATCGAAACGCCGTTCACATCGCCAATCGCATAAACGTTAGCTAAGTTAGTCTGACATTTTTCGTTGGTCACCACCCGACCCTTTTCTAAGTAAAGACCGATTTTTTCAAGACCTAGGTTAGCCGAATTAGGAACGCGCCCAGTCGCCAGCAAAATCTTCTCGTAGGGTATTTGAAAAACTTGTCCAGTCGCCCGGTTTTTGACGCTTAAAAAGTGCTGATCAACTTTGACCGCTTGGTGACCTAAGTAAAATTTGACGCCGCGCTCCTGGTAGTAGTCCAAAATTTGCCGACTAATTTCCTGGTCAAGTCCGCCGCCAACTTGGTCAAAAAACTCAACCACGTGAATCTCGGGACCAAGGTTTTGAAAGTAAGCCGCCATCTCCAAACCAATCACTCCGCCGCCGATAATGACTAGTCGCTTGGGCAACTTTTCTAGAGATAGCACTTCCACGTTAGTGAGAATTTTTTCGCGGTTAGTCAAGAGCTCCTTCAGTCCTTCAATCGGCGGAATGCTAGGCAACGAACCAGTCGCAATCACCAACTTGTCGGCCAGTAGTTCCTGCCCGTCTACTTCCACCAAAAACCCGTCCTGACTTTGGCCTTTAACTTTGCCAAATCCGCGGAAAATGTCGACGCCGTTAGCTTTAACTTTGGCCTCCACGCCTTGAACGAGCAACTTAACTTTTTCGTCTTTGCGACGAACAGCCTGCTGGTGGTCGTAGTGAAAAGAGCCGACTTTCACGCCGTACTTTTCGCCGTGGGCGACGGCTCGGTAAACTTTCCGCGAGTAGAGCAACGCCTTGGAAGGAATGCAACCCACGTTTAAGCACGTTCCTCCGAAAGCATCTTTTTCAATGATGGCCGTTTTGAGATGTTTGCCGATTCGTTCGGCTAGTAAGTAGCCGCCCGGCCCGGCGCCCAAAATGACAACTTGGTAGCGACTAGCCATGGTTCTCCTTTGCAACGAGTTGATCGATCTTTTCAAGCACGGTTTTGAGATCGACTAAAAAACGTCCGCCGTCAGCGCCGTCCACCAGGCGGTGGTCAATCGTGAGCGACAAAGTCAGTGCTTGGTAAAACTCAACCAATCCGGCTTGGTTTTGGCGCGCTCGGAGCGTCAAAGCACCAACGCCTAAAATCGCCGCCTGACCATCGTTAAGAATCGGCGTGAAAGACTCAATCCCGAGCGCGCCCACGTTAGAAATCGTGAACGTTCCCGACTTGAGATCGACCGCCTGGTACTGACCCTGGCGAACGAGTTTGATCATTTGGCGGGCTTGCTCGCTAATCTCTCGCAACGACTTAGCGTTAGCGTGGGTTAAAACCGGCACGATTAGTCCGCCGGGCGTGTCAACGGCGATCGCGATGTGAGCGTGGCGGTGCCCCACGGCGCGCTCGTCAAACACATGGGCGTTAATCGTTTGGCTGTACTTAGGTAAAACGCGCGAAGTCGCAAAGACGACGAGGTCGTTAATTGAAATGCGCGGACCGCCGCTTTGAGCGGCCTTTTTAAAGCGCTGGTGAACTTTGGTTAAATTGCTCGCGTCAACGCTGATCACTAACGTCGCGGCGGCTGATTGCTCCTTTGACTTGAGCATCGCTCGGGCGATCGCCCGGCGCATCGGTTGGTAATCAAAGGGTGAATCGCCGCTGGCTCGCGGCGCCTCGCTCGCCAGCTGTTCAACTAGGTCGGGCTGACTGACTTGGTTGACCGCGCCCTTGATCTTAGCGAGCTGCATCGCTCCGAGAACGTCTTGACTAACTAGGCGCGGCTGGTTGGGCTGAGCCGGGTTGACTAAGGCCGGGTTAATTCCCGAACGACGAAGCGTGCGGAGAGCCCGCGGCGAAAAACCGCTCCGGTTTGAACCTAGAACCTGATCAGTTGGTTCAGCCGCTGGCGAGCTAACTGACTCAGGCGCCGGAGCGGCTCGAACTGGAGTAAGTTGCGGCGGCTCGTCAGCTGGGACGGGACGAGAGTGCTTGGTTTGGACTTTGGGAGTCTCAGACGGCTCGAGTTCAGCCAAAAGAGCGCGAATGTCTTCCCCAGCCTTTCCGACGATCGCGACGGGCGAAAAGACGGCGATTTCTTGGTTAGGCTCGACGAGTATTTTTAAAACCGTCCCCTCTTCTTGGGCTTTGTGTTCAACTTGGGTTTTATCGGTTTCGTAACTGAAAAAAGGTGCGCCCTTTTTAATTACTTGCCCCTCAGCCACGTGCCACTCGGATAAAATGACCGATTTTACCGTGTTACCCATCTTGGGCATTTTGACTACTTTAGCCACGCTCGCTCTTTTCCGCCGGATCTAGGTGACCGACTGCTAACTCCTCGGTTAGTTGGGTTTTGGGACTGATGCTCATCGCTAGACTGATCAGCGACAGGTGGTAAACTTCCCGCCAGTCACAACCGCGACTCAAATCGTTGACCGGCCGGTTGAGACCGACGATAATCGGTCCGATCGCTTGGTAATTACCAGTCAACTTCATAATTTTGTAGCCGATGTTAGCTGCGTCCAGGTTAGGGAAAATGTAGACGTTCGGCGCGTGAATGAGCGAGCGGTTCCACTTGTAAAGTCTGGTTTGGGCGTCGTAAGCCGCATCGAACTGAGTTTCCCCAAGTACCCGGTAGCCTTGCCCGGTCAACTCCTCAGCCGCCTGACGGACTTTTAAAACGCTCGGCAGTTTCTGACCGCCGCTGCCGTTAGTGGAGAAAGAAAGCAGCGCCAAGTAAGGATCGATGCCAAAAAGACTTTTCACCCCGGCCGCGACCGACTGACCAATTTCAACTAACTCGGCTTGGTTAGGTTCGGGCACGATCGCAGCGTCGCCTAGGAAAAGGTTTTCCTGACCCTTAGTCATTCAAAAAAACGAAGTCACTAACTTACGCCGCGTGCCAACAATTTGAAGCGCGGGTCTGAGCAGTTCGGCAGTCGGAACGGTGGCTCCGCCGACAACGCAATCTAACTCGCCCAGCCGAACCAAACTCATCGCAAAGTAGTTTGGATCGCTGGCTCAGCGGGCAATCGTCTCGGCATCGTTTTTGTCGCCGCGCCAAGTTTGCAAGCAGTCGATCAACTTTTGACGCGGGTAAGCATCAATGACCTCGGGACTAATCACGAGCGTCTCGACATTAGGAAATTGGGCCAGTTCCTGGGCCGCTCTTAAAATGCGCGGGTCAGCGCCGTCGGGAAAACCGATGCGGATTTTGCCCCGGTGGTTGGTAATGCTCTGAACTAAGGCAGCGATTAAAGGGTGTTTATTCATGCTCAGACCGTCCGATCAACGGCTGCCTAACGCCGATCACCTCTAGTCCTTGGCGGGCAATTTCGATCTCTTCGTCGGTTTCCGAGACGTAAATGGCAAACTGAGAAGCGCGGGTTGAAACTTTTACCCACGACTGATCAGCCAAATCAATCTTGGTCTCTAAAACCAGTTTGGAAATGCTGACTTTTTCGACGAAACGCCGCAAAACTTTGCGACTGTTTTTGCCGATGCCGCCGGTAAAAATAACGCCGTCAATCTGGTTACCTAATTCGTTAAGGTAAGCGCTGTAATAACTAACTAAGCGATCAACATACATTTCAAACGCCAGTTCGGCCGCCGGATCACCCGCCGCGATCGCCTGCTCAATTTCGCGCATGTCGTTGGTGGTGCCAGTCAGAGCTAATAGTCCCGACTGACGGTTTAAAAGCTCGTCAACCGCCTGGTAATCAAGTCCGAGCTGACGCTGGAGAAAAATCACCACGGCCGGGTCAATGTCGCCCGAGCGGGTTCCCATCATCAGGCCGGCCAGCGGCGTCATCCCCATTGAAGTGTCAAGCGATTGACCATCTTTAATTGCGCAAACCGATGAGCCGTTGCCAAGGTGAAAAATGATCAAATTGGGACGGTCAATTTTGCTTTCCTGACGAAAGCGGTGCAAATTGTACTGGTAACTGATGCCGTGCATACCGTACTTACGCACGAGATGTTGTTCGTACAAATAACGCGGCAGCGGGTACAAAAAACGCCTCTCATCCAAACTTTGGTGAAAGGCGGTGTCAAAAACTAAAACGTTGGGAGCTAAGACGAGTTTTTGCATTAACTTGACGCCGAGTAAATTGGGCGGGTTGTGAAGCGGAGCGAGATGGCTCAAGGCAGTCAGTTTTTCTAACACTTCGGGGGTGGCCAAAGTAGCGCGGCGGTAAAAACTTCCTCCCATCACCACGCGGTGACCGACCAGGGCGATCTCGCTGGCTAGATCGGCGACCACTCCTTCGCTCTTCAAAAGTTCAATTAGCGCTTCAAAAGCTTGGTCGTGACTCGCTAAGGAGAGATCTTTTTGCCAAACTTGACCCGGGCGGTAAAACTTAATGCGCCCGTTTTTTTCGCCAATTTTCTCAAGCAAAACTTGGGCCAGAAGTTCGAGATTTTGGTCGAAAACTTTCGCTTTGACCGAGGAACTTCCGGAGTTGATTACCAGGGTTTTTTGCATTTCAAAGCTCCAGTCGTATGAACGATTAATTAAGTAAAATTATACAACACCGCTGGGCAGATAAATTAACGCGTCTTGGTCGGCTGAGCAGCAGCGCTAGGAGCGGCTTTCTTAGTCACGATTTGTTTGAGACGCGCGGCCTTACCGCTGCGCTGACGCATGTAGTAAAGTTTGGCACGACGCACTTTGTTGCGGCGCACTACGTCAACGTGGGAAATGATGGGCGAGTTAAACGGAAAAGTTCGTTCCACGCCGATTCCGTAAGAAATTTTGCGAACCGTGAAAGATTTAGAGGCCCCGCTGTTTTTGATCGCGATCACTAATCCTTCAAAAACTTGGATCCGCTCCTTGCTACCTTCGCGAATTCGAACGTAAACTTTGACATTCTCGCCCGGGCGAAAATCGGCTAAATCTTCGCGGCGCGATTGCTGGTCCACGTGGGTTAACAGTTTATGACGCATGTTTTTTTCTCCTTAGTAAATCGGGTCGTTTAGACCGCGTTTTAGCGAGCGCTTGTTCCTGGCGCCACTGGTTGATTTTTTGGTGGTCGCCGCTCAGTAAAACGGGTGGTACTTCCATTCCTTTGTACGAGCGGGGTCTTGTGTACTGGGGGTACTCAAGCAAGTCTTGGCTAAAGGAATCATCGTTTTGAGAACTAGCCTTGATCACGCCGGGAACAAGTCTGATCAGCGCGTCAGCCAGAGCCAAAGCCGGTATTTCACCGCCCGTCAAAACAAAGTCGCCGAGCGAAATCTCTTGGTCAACTAGCGAGCGCACTCGCTCATCAAAACCTTCGTAATGTCCCGCCACTAAAGTCAACTCTTTTTCGGTCGCTAGTTGACGGGCTAGTTGCTGGTTAAAAACTTCTCCCTGCGGCGTGAGCAAGATTTTTTTGCCGCCCAAAGCTTTCAAGGCCCGGTCGATCGGTTCGACTTGGAGCAACATCCCTTGTCCTCCGCCGTAGACTTGGTCGTCAACCCGGCGGTGTTTGTCAAGCGAAAAATCGCGTAAGTTGACGATGTTAATCGTAACTAACTTCTTCTCAACCGCCCGTTTGATGATTGATTCGTCAGCAAAGACCTCAAAAAAACGGGGGAAAAGCGTGACGATGTTCAGACGCATGACTACGAAATGGCGACTTTGGTCTTAGAAGCAGTTTTTTTAGGGGCTGCTTTTTTGGTCTCGGCCTGGGCCAGTTTGCTTTGCTCGTACTGCTTGAAAAGCGTTTTGACCGTTGGCGAAGGCTGAGCGCCGACGCTCAGTCACTTTTTCTGCAGTTCAACATCGATAAAAAGTTCTTTGCTGTGCGGGTTGTAGTAGCCAATTTCTTCGATGAAACGACCATCGCGCGGAGCGCGACTGTCAGCCGCCACAATTCGGTAAAAGGCGCTGAATTTTTTACCGATCCGTTTCAGTCTTAGTTTAACCATCTTTCCACTCCTTCGCTACTAATCTTACCACGGTTAAAGTCCATGTCAAGCGAAAGTGCTTGACAAAAATAGGTCGGGGTTATTTTTGCTAAAATAAAAAGAAGATGCACCGACTTGAGTTTATGCGCGGAGAACTGGCTCGTGCTCGTCAAATGCGAGCCAACAAAGTTTTTCTGGGCTGCTTTCTGGCGCTGGCCATCGCGACTTTCCTGGCTCGCTTTACCATCGCAGTCCTGCTTGACTTTGGTCTCAAAGACGGGCAGTTTTACCCCGACTGGTGAATGACGATTTTGAGCGGAGAAAATTCCACCAACGGACCAAACCTTGACGATCCGTACTGACGGCAACTTTTTGACCGACGGCCCAACTTTTTGTGGATGATGACTCAGTTCACTTGACTGACCACATTGCTGATGATTTTTTACCTCTTTTTCCGGTTTTTTGGAGTTAACCGCGAGCTGCCGGAGTGGCTGCGCTGAATCGGTTCCCAACGCACGCTGAGCATCGTCACCATTTACGAAATCACCATCGCCGCTATTTACTGATCTTCTTACCTCAGCGGGGTGCGAATCGAAGTTTCCGGCGCTCGAATTCCGGTCTGAAGTTTTTTAGTTACGCTCTTAGTGCACGCCTTTCTACCTTTTTTTGTCACCGTCTACTCGGTCATTTTTCTCGTCCAAGATAAAAGCGCTTCCCTGCTCAGAGAGAGGTTTGTTTTTAAAGCGATGACTTGGCCGATCATTTACGCTTTTTACTACACCTTAGTCGCCCTAGTTTGAAAAGACCCCTACGCGATCACCGATTTCAAAGGTGAGTTTTACCTTAGTTTAGGGAAAGTAATCGGCTCGCTCCTAATTATTTACTTCTTAATCGGTGTGATGGTAATCGTTCACAACTATATCTTGACTCGCTTTAACCACAAATACCTCGCCAGCCACGACAGTGACGCTTTGCTCCACCGCAAACAAGTGCTAGCTCGGATCAAAACCAAAGCGGCGCGCAAAGTGATGAAAGACGATAAAATTCGCGATCAACTTAACCAACTGACCCACGAAATTATTCAGTTTGAACGGGAAGTGGAAATTAAAAAACGGATCGCCCGGCACAAGTGAAAAATCGCGCGGCGCGAGTCGAAGAAAAACCCCTTTGAACAACCGAACCAAGTTGAGTAGGGAGGATGACGTGGCAAAAAGAACCAAACTAATCTTTAAATCGGCTTGATTAACGAGCGGACTGGTGCTTCTAACGCCCTTCGCGGGTCTAAGTTGCTGGCAAAAACCGCAGGCCATCCAAGCGCAAAAAGACCGTCAGTTAGATCCGTTGCTGGACATCATCGGCAACTTAACCACGCAGCGGATGACCGAGTACCCCAGTCAAGTCGCCCGCCAAAACCAAATCATTGGCGACCTATCAGAACTAGGAGTTAGTCAACGGACACCAACCATCACCGGAGTAGTTTTCCGATTTCGCGTGGTTCGGATTGACGACTTAAAAGGCGAGATTACGCTGGAAGCAGTCGTTCGGAAAAACCAGCAAGTTAGTCGCCGACTAATTTACGTGAGCGGTTTTTACTCCCAAAACTGACACAAACTTAACCAAGCACTGGAACAAATAAACCCCGAACTTAAGACGAGCTGAAACCACTTAAAATCTTCCCAAGTTGCCGAAGTTGGGAAAATTTACCAACTTGAAGATCTCGGCGTAGAGCTAGAAATCCCCGCACTAATTAACTGGAGTGCGCGGATCAAAGTGAAACAGATCAGCGAGCAGACCGGTCAAATTGAGGGCAACTGTCTCCTCACATACGCCGGCGTGGTCGGGACCTTAGCGGTCAAGATCAGCGGATTTGCAATCTAAAGGAAAACGATGAATTCAAAAGTTGAAACGACCGAAGATGCACTAGTTAAAATCAAAATTAACCAATCGTTCATCTCCTACCATCTCCAAGACAAAAACATGCGTTGGACGGCCCTGTTTGTTCACGGCTTTAACTCCTCGAGCGATTTTGCTAAGCCGCTTTTTGGTCTCAAGACTAATTACAACATCATTTCGGTTAATTTGCCCGGCAGTCGCTACCTTGACCACGACGAGGCTGAACTGGGCGTTGACTTTTACGTCAAACTGCTCGAAACATTCATTAAACAAAACGTCAAAAGTCGGAAAATCGTTTTGGTCGGTCACTCGCTCGGCGGCGGTATCGTGGCCGCTCTTAGTCGTCTAGCCAAAGTCAAACGAGTTGTTTACGTGGCGGCGATTAATCCCCACATGATCTACGCCCGCAATTGAACGGCTCTTTACGACTTATTTTTCGGCCAGGGAATTCACAAAAGTATCAAAAATATGGTTCTCAAAGCGGGGGCGAGAATTTACGAATCGCTGGTTGACAAAAACGCGGTCGTCAGAGAAATTTGCGACCAGAAAGGTCGCTTTGTTCCGATCATTAAAAACTACTTACTTAACACCGAGTACATGAGCGAAATTCTCAAAAACCAGTACCACCAAAGTCTGCGCAAAAAACCGCTCTTTATCATCGGCGACCAGGACCGCGTAGTTGAAACAAGTCGCTTTGTTAACTTTGTTGAACAAGACCTAGGTCAAAAAGTGATTGTTTTGCCCCGCACTAAACACAATCCCTTTCTGACCCAAGCCGATCCGATCAACGAAATTCTCAACCAAATCATGCCCGCTAAAAAACGTTTCTTCCGCCGCAACCTAATTAAAGTGCGTCCTGGCCAACTCGTGCAATCAATCGCTGTCAAAAACGCCAAAAACGTTCAAAAGCCAAACCGCGGTGACTAATTTGGTTTTTGCTGACTAAGTCAAGCTCGGCCATGACACGCTTTTGTTCAGGCAAGTAAAAGGCTGGGTCAAAACCAAACCCGTCCGGACCGACTGGAACCACCAATCGTCCGGCTACTTGACCTTCAAAAACTTGGANACAACACTAGTTATACTGGTTATTACAGAAGGTTTCAATAAATGAAAATAATATTTAACGGTTTTTTTTACAAATTCATTGTTATAAAGTTCGTCGATTACACTTAATTCTGTTAAACATTGATTTCTATTAATTTTATACAGTAATATCTGCATGCCAATACTAACTTTCATCAATGATATTATTCCAACAACAACTTTCTAATAAACATAAAAATTGTTATGCGAATTAAGAATCGGTGTTAAAGCGTATTATAAGATTTAAAATTGAAATATTTTTTACATACCTTTTAAACGATTGTCGTTATAACTGCTAGAAAATTACATACTGTATCATTTGATAAGTTTTGCATAAAAGTATACTTAAATACGATGTTTATTATTTGACCGTGCATTTTGCTTCTTTATTTAAAATTCCGCTGACTTGAATGACCGAGGAAAATACTCGAATATACGGCACTTGGCAACCTGTAAATAACATATGGTTATTTACAGGTATATATATATAATGCATAATTGGCAACATACTCTTATCAAACTTCACATTTTATATAGAAGGATACTCCGAGAAGAATCTTTCAAAATCTCTTCATAAAGTCATTTATCTTATAAAAAAATTATTTATAAAATCAGTTAATATTAAGAACTCGAAAATCATATGTAATTCATAAATGTTAATTTAATTATATAGAGTGAAACGATATTACAGAGGTAAGGTAACATCTTACCTCTGTAAGTTATCTATGTCCCCCCTACCACTTGCTCTGCCAAGGGGATAGCCGCATCTATCTTTTCGTTACATTGTATATTGCGAATAGAAAAGGGGAGTAAATTGACAGTTGCAAATGCAAACAGTTTACAGAAAGAAATCTCCATTTCTTATCGAAAAAACACTGAAAATTCTAAAGTATCCGAAAAACATTATTTAAATAAAAATTTCCAGGCATATTATTTACATATATTGTTCCATTATACTTGAAACCAACTTTGCCATATAACTTTTGTCTATTTCTCTACTGATTTCATATCTAATCACAAATTTAATAGCATCAATGAAAGTTAAGCAATGACATGCTGTATTTTTAAAATTATATGTTCATAATTTATGTTAATTTATCTGAATTTTAAAAAATACCCATTAATAGTACGTGTTATTTCTCGTGCATTCAGTCTCATTAAAATAAGACTGAATGCACGGGAAATAACACGTACTATTGTGAAGATAGGGTTTAAGTTTATCCACATGTGAAAATTTAAACGCCATACCAACTTACTGTAAGTGTTGCTTGGATAGTAAACAGCCCAAAAAGAAGATTTCAAGCATTCGTAGCACTCGCTTACCTCTGCATCAAATAAAAAATATACATTAAGGAGAGTATTAAGAAGTGCTATTTTTATTCTAAGTGACATTACTTAGACCGACTGTCAGTTTTGACTAAATCTAAATGCTGGAAATTATCCAACAGACGTTTGTACTAGAAAAATATGAAAACGGTTACGTCTGGAAAGTGAACAACTTTGCAAATGTTTGTCATCTGAATCCAGTTGAACGATTGTAATACCGTCCGCAGCAGAAGTTGTAAACTTACGAAAATAGGTGGTATAGAGAAAATGAAGCATTGGAACAGCGAATAAAGACCAAATTCCACTAGTTAAATACAGTGAATGTTAGAAATTTCATGGCTGGTGTCGGGACTAAGATTACCAAATGAACCATTGCAGACCAGAATTCGTAATTTAGAGAAAAACGATTTT